GAGGACACTCACAGGAACTCATATACATTTAAGAGAAAGACTGGAAGATGCAGACATCTCCCAGAAAGCAAAATAGAAAGAGAGAGAAAACAAAACAAAAACACAAAAACTTTAAAAAATCAAGGCTCTTGAGAATTCACTGGTGGTCCAGTGGTTAGGTCTCAGCACTTCCACTGCCAGGGCCTAGGTTCAATCCCTGGTCACAGAACTAAGATCCTACAAGCCGTATGGCACAATCAAAAATCATATAAATCAAGGCCCTATTCAAGGCTTCCAATCTCTGATTAATTAGAACTCCAAGGAATTCCCTGGTAGTCCAGTGGTTAGGAATCCACACTTTCACTGCAGGGGGGTACTAGTTCAACCCCTGGTCAGGGAACTAAAGACCCCATGAACTGCAGCACGCCAGGCTCCCCTGTCCTTCACCATCTCCGAAACTTGCTCAAACTCATGTCCATTGAGTCGGCGATGCCATCCAACCATCTCATTCTCTGTAGTCCCCTTCTCCTCCTGTCTTCAATCTTTTCCCAGCATCGGCGTCTTTTCTAATGAGTCAGCTCTTTGCATCAGGTGGCCAAAGTATTGGAGCTTCAGCATCAGTCTTTCCAAATATTCAAGACTGACTTCCTTTAGGATTGGCTGGTTTGATGTCTCTTAACATACCATATAATAACTCTTTATCGTTTACTGACTGAATGAATTAAGTCTCTGAATTACCAAAATCACCTCCTGGAGCACTCTGGGTTTTCTTTAGAGGTGTTAGTACCTCAGTAGGAAAGACACATCACATTTCCATAAAAGGGCAAGAGAATGCTGATAGAAAAACTTTAATTTTCAATGGGCTGACCGGAGAACAGTACCAAGTGATAAAAATACAATAACTACAGTTTTTAGGTTTCTTTTGATCTATTAGGAATATTATAATAAACCTGTAATAAAATATATACTACAATAAACCTATAATAAAATCAACTGTCTAAAAAAACCAGTTTTTTACTGTATGACCCAGCAATCCCACTCCTGGATTAATTATCCTAAAGAAATTAACACTTATGCTCACATAAAGACCTGTACAGGGACTCCTTTGGTGGGCCAGTGGTTAAGACTCCACCACATTCCCAATGCAGGGTGCAGACTCAATCCCTAGTGGGAAACTAAGATCCCTTATGCCACATGGTATGCCACCGCCCCCCCACCAGGCCAAAAAAAGTGGAATGAAATAAAAATTCATCCGATAGAGTAAATGGTGAGAAGATCAATGAAACTCTTAAGAAATAAGAATAATCAGCAGGGGACTTTAACCTACTCCAACAAATCAATCAAAAGCTGCAGTAATAAAAACACCATGACTGGGTATAAAGCTAAATGAATTAAATCAGAGAAGCAGAAGGGAATTTAACAATCGGGGGAAAGAACTGACGACCCTGGGAAAGCAGTAAGGCACATAAATAGGGGAGAAAAAGTTAAGACTCTAAACCTCACACTAATCCTCCAAAATACACAGCAAGTCAACTAAACATTCAAACACCAGTCACAGCAGAATTTAAAGAGAAAAACAGAATGTTTACAATCTGGGAAAAAAGTAAACTGTTCTCACCAAGACATGAAACCCAGACAGATCAGACCAATGTCTAAAAACACATAAAAGGTTTACATCACTAAGATTAAAAGAGAAAAGAAACACAGATAAAGTATATACAACAGGAAGCTTATTTTAAAAAGAAAATATAAATGACACCAAGATATGAAAATAGCATCAATCTAAGTAGCTATCATGAGAAAGCAATCTTTTTTAAGAAATATCATTTTTTTGTTTATCTGACAAAAATTATCTATAGTGTTAGCAAGGGTGTAGAAAAATAGGCACTCTCATTCATTTTGGTAGGCTAATAAAACAGTACGACATCCTCTCAAAACCAATTCGGCAGTACCTATTACAGTATTAAAATGCAGAAGCATCACTCTGCTAAGCAGAGGTCCGCACAGTTAAAGCTCTGGTTCCCCACGGACGCACAGATGTGGGAGCTGGGCCATAGCGGCTGTGCGCCAGAGAACCGACGCCTCTGGCCTGCGGGCTGGAGAAGACTTGAGAGCCCCTTGGACTTCGAAGAGACAAATCACTCACTCCTGAAGGAAACCAACCCTGAATATTCATTGGAAGGACTGATGGTGATGGTGAAGCTCCAATACTTTGGCCACTTGATGCCAAGAGCTGACTCACTGGAAAAGACCCTGATGCTGGCAAAGACTGACGGCAAAAGGAGGAGGTGGCAGAGGATGAGACGGTTAGACAGCATCACTAATTCAATGGACATGAACTTGAGCAAACTGTGAGTCAGTGGAGGACAGAGAAGCCTGGTGTGCTGCAGTCCATGGGGTTGCAAAGAGTCAGACACGGCTTAGCGCCTGAACAGCAACAAACTACAGTCTCACATTCCCTCTGATCCACGATTTCCAGACATCCAGGAATTTATCCTACAGAAACACTCTTAATAAAGGACAGAAGGTTATGTTTAAGGACATTTAGTGCAGATGTTTATAATAGCAAAAAAATCAGAAACCACCCAATGCCCATCAATACAGGTAAACTATGGTGCCAACACACACCAGAAGGCAACGTCCCATTAAACAGAGTACGTCAGATCTAGAAGCACTAAAATCCAGACGTGATCAAGATGTGATCAACTACTTGCTAAGAAAAACTACCATTATGTACTTTCTTGTTAAAATAAACAAAAAATTACTGTATATATAAAACTGTGGTAATGTATACCAAACTGCTGAAAGTGATCCTCTGAGAAGAGAGAAAGTTTCAGGAATTTTATTTTCTACATAATGAATTTCTATAACGTTTATATTTTACATGATTCTGGGTAAGACCTACAAAATGGGGGAAAAAAATAAAATCGATTTTTTCAGACCACAAAAAAGAAGTTTTAAGTTAGCCATTATCTAGTCAAAATTCAAGCACTTCTGCAGAGAACATATTAGATGTAAACATCGTAAGTCTCACTGCAGCACACACATGTTATGTTAAAGGTGAAAAGGTCTATCTGTCTCACTCCTCTTTTAACCCACCATCTCTATCTAAGGAAACTGGCCAAGTAACCACCTGAAACTGGTTGGGGTAAATAAACTCAGAGGTTCTGTTCCTTATTTCAAAAAGTTTGGATCTAGGGCAGCAAAGAAAGCTCCACCAACTCATGCTATTTACTGATTCCAAAAGCAGTCCCGGCATCCCTATGGAGTCTTAACCAGGGAACTGTCACTAAAATTGAGATGAAACGTGAAGAGGCAAATTTTTAGTTACAGTCTTTACTTAAGACTCCCGTTAGAATAGACCAATGATGCACAACCTTCTTCAGGTCTCAGAACACAGAGGAAGTTAGAATATTTGTAGGGCAAATTGTAGAAAACCCAGGGTGGGTCCTGCTCCAGCAGGCCCTTGCACAGTGGACTGCAGGCCTCAGGACATTTAACACTGCCTTGGCACACATATCAGGAGCCTCTGCTACATGGGAATCATTTCTTTACAGTTTCCTTCAAAAGTAACATTAAGTTCATTCAGTAAATATTTATTAAGTACAGGGGGAGAATGGATACATGGATATGTATGGCTGTGTCCCTTCGCTGTCCACCTGAAACTATCACAACACTACTTGTTAATCACCTATATACCAATACAAAATAAAGTTTTAAAAAAAAATTTATTAAGGCTTCCCTGATGGCTCAGTGGTAAGGAATCCATCTGTCAATGCAGGTGATGCAGGTTTGATCCCTGGTCTGGGAAGATTCCCTGGAGAAGGAAAAAGCAATCCACTTCAGGAAAATCCACTGCCTGGAAAACCCCATGGACAGAGGAGCCTGGGCGTTACAGTTCATGGAGTCAAAAAAGAGCCAGACACAACTTATCGACTAAACAATGAGTACCTAATATGTGCCAAATATGGTTGTGCTGATGTCTTCCCTATAGATTAGAGCGGAAAGACAGATAAATAAGCAATTTGCAAATAAGCAATTTGCAATATAATTGTAATTATAATAGAAAAACATATTACTTACATAACTGTAATGGTAAATGCTATCTAGGGGAAAAGTATCATGAGTGCCATGCCCGGGGAAAGGGAGTCTGTCAATCACTACTTTCCCCAAGAAGTGACTCCAATACAAAAGGATGAAGTGTATTTTAGGCAAGAGACAACAGGTACAAAGATCCAATCCAAGAAACTATGTTAAAAAAAAAACCAGAACAGGGACTTTCCTGGTGGTCCAGTGGTTAAGAATCCACTGCTCAATGCAGAGGTCACAAGTTTGATTGCTGGTTGGGAACTAAGACCCCATGTGCCACAGAGCAACTCAGCCTCTGCGCAAACAACTGAAGAGCCAGCACGCCAGCAAACGGCCCACAGGCCTCCACCAAGACCCAGTGCAGCCAGAACCCAGACACCAAAACAGCTCTGTGCTGCCCAAAGCCAATGTGAGGAGGGGCTTAATTCAGAAGCAGTTTTAATGGAAGTGTTTTTGATCAACATGGAATGTGGTTGAGCAGAAAGCAAATATAACAAAATTAGGAAAGCATGTGCATTTCTACATAATAACCTATCAAACATAAGCTATGAGATAAATGTTTGGGGAGATGAAGAAGCTTCTTGAGGATAAATTTATAAAAACAGTCAACACTTGATTTTTGCAAGTACCATGAGCTTGTAATGAAGTTAAACATTTTTACTGTGGTGGTAGACATTTACCACTGAAAAAGAATGCTACCTCTTTATAAAGGCAAAGATCATTCAAACACTCAATATGTAATCTTTACAACAGGTAAAGAAATGAGAAAGTAAAAGAACTCCCAGGATAATTAATATATAAGCTTCCTATTCTTAAAAAATGTTTAATTAGCTTACAGAAAGCCCAAATATATACACTGTGTCCCTCTTTCTCTCACATGGAAATAAACAGAAAAGTGTATTAACAGAAATCAACCATAATTTGTTACTTACCTCTCTGCCTGTAAGGATGTGTCTTGCCAACTTCACTTTTGCAAAATTCCCCTTGCCGATAGTTTTCAACAGCCTGTAGTTTCCAATGTGAGGCTGTTCATCTGCACAGGAAGCTATAGAGTTTCTACACCGTGCTCCAGAGCGCCCAGAGCGAGAGGTAACTTCTTGCCGCCCATCTCCATGTGACGTGTGCTACAATAAAACAGGCAACAAAGGGTAGGAAATGAGGAACCCATAGTAGTTGACAAGGTTTAAGAGTCTCTAGTTGAAGGAACAAAACATCACTGCTTTAATTTCAATCCCAATACATATGGCACTTTATGGGGACTTGCCCACGTGATACAAAGCGAAGAAGCGAAGTCGCTCAGTCGTGTCCGACTCTTTGCAACCCCATGGACTGTAGCCCCCCAGGCTCCTAGGTCCATGGGATTTTCCAGGCAAGAATACTGGAGTGGGTTGCCATTTCCTTCTCCAGGGGATCTTCCTGACCCAGGGATCTAACCCTGTCTTGAGCTACCAGGGAAGCCCCCACGTGATATAAACTCATGAGGAAGATAAAATGCTGAGAAGAGAAATACCAGTCTTGAGCTTCAACTGGGTGTTCAGATAGATGAGATTATTTTCTGTATGTGGCTATACCATAAAATAGGAGAAAGAAGACTGCCTTACAGTCATAAAGAACTTAACTTTCCCACATGCTATTAAATATACCAGCACATATTATACTTAACACACCTTATGATACAGGTAGAACAGGTAACATCACCATTCACCAGATGAGGATATCTTGAGATTATTTCACCACCAAATCACTAGTGAGAAATCCAAAGAGAATATGGATTCCCAACTTCTTTCTAAACTATGCTGCTAACAATGATCTTTAAGACAACATGTGCCAGACTCTAAAGCCCTTAATAAACATTTGTTGAACAGATGAATACAGTACTCAACATATTCCAAAAAGGTAAAACAAATCATAAACGCCTTTAACCACATTAAATAGAAAGGTGCTTGAGTTACAAACGCCTGATGAGGACAGCTCTGCATGCATAAGCAACCAGCTGCCTAGTACGTCCTCTCTCCCCACACACGCTCAAAGGCTGCCACACCTCACTGCCTACCTCTCATGACCACTAACTGCTTCCTCTCCCTCTCAGAACACTTTCAAGCACCTTCATTCCTTTCTCCTTTCTTTTTGTCCAGGAAAACGTCCCTTGTTTCTCATGTTCTCTCTCTACCTGTAGGTCAAAACAAGTCTGATTCTAGGTGATAAACATAAGAAACTACACTTGGTAACACATTCTTATCAAGGAAAAAAGAAAAAAAAAAAAACAACCCTTATTTTACAGTGAAAGCTTAAGAATTTGTGCCATCAACCTCTGAATTCCACAAAAGATATCCTTTTCAGAATGTCCACGTTAATTTTCATCTACATTTTTATATTCCTGTAAGTAAATCTCTGTCCCTTCTGTACCATGTTTTGAGATAAGTTTTCTTCTATTTTAAGTTTAAAAGACTTTTACAAACTGGTTGCAAATCTAAACAACTTTATTCCTGTAGCAAAAAGATTCTATTTATTTTTTATTCTAATTTTCAAATGAGAATTTTGGGAAAATAGTCCATTACAAACGAGGAATAGCAAGGAGAGATAAGACCTTCAATGCAAAGTAGTAGTGGAAAACAATGGAATGGGAAAGACTAGAGATCTCTTCGAGAAAACTGGACATATCAATGGTACATTTCATGCAAGGATGGCCATGACAAAGGACAGAATGGCAAGGACCTAACAGAAACAGGAGTCTTAGAAGAGATGGCAAGAATACACAGAACTGTACAAAAAAGGTCTTAATGACCGGGATAACCATGATGGTGTGATCACTCACCTAGAGCCAGACATCCTGGAGTGTGAAGTTAAATGGGTCTCAGGAAGCATCACTACAAACAAAGCTAGTGGAGGTGATGGAATTCTAGCTGAGCTACTGAAAGATCCTCAAAGATGATGCTGTTAAAGTGCTGCACCCAATATGTTGGCAAATGTGAAAAACCCAGCAGTGGCCACAGGACTGGAAAAGGTCAGTTTTCATTCCAATCCCAAACAAGGGCAGTGCCAAAGAATGTACATTGTGTACAACTGCACTCATTTCACACGCTAGCAAGGTAATGCTCAAAACCCTTCAAGCTAGGCTTCAACAGTAGGTAAACCGAGAACTTCCAGGTGTACAAGCTGGATTTAGAAAAGGCAGAGGAACCAGAGATCAAATGCCAGAATCTGCTGGATCACAGAAAAAGCAACAGAATCCCAGAAAAACACCTATTATGCTTCATTGACTAGGTTAAAGCTTCTGACTGTGTGGATCACAATAAACTGTGGAAAATTCTTAAAGAGCTGGGAATACTAGACTACCTTACCTGCCTCCTGAGAAAGCTATCTGTATGCAGATCAAAAAGGAACAGCTAATTAAAACCTTACAGGGAACAAATAACTGGTTCAAAATTGGGGAAGGAATACGACAAGGAGTACGTCAAGGCTATATACTGTCACCCTGCTTATTTAACTTATATGCAGAGTACATCATGCGAAATGCCAGGCTGGATGAATCATAAGTTGGAATCAAGATTGCAGGGAGAAACAACAACAACCTCAGATATGCAGATGATATCACTCTAATGGCAGAAAGCGAAGAGGAACTAAAGAGCCTCTTTATTAGGGTGAAAGAGGAGTGAAAAGGCTGGTTTAAAACTCAACATTCAAAATACAGATCATGGCATCCAGTCATTCATGGCAAATAGAAGGGAAAAAAGTGGAAGCAGTAACAGATTTTCTTTCCTGGACTCCAAAAATCACTGCAGATGGTGACTGCAACCGTGAAATTAAAAGACGTCTGCTTCTTGGAAGGAAAGCTATGACAAACCTAGACAGCACATTAAAAAGCAGAGACATCACTTTGCTCACAAAGGTCTGTCTAGTCAAAGCTATGGGGTTTTTTTAGAAGGAAATCAACCCTGAATATTCACTGGAAGGACTTGATGCTGAAGCTCCAATGCTTTGGCCACCTGATGTGAAGAGCCGACTCATTGGTAAAAAAAGACCCTGATTCTGGGAAAGATTGAGAGCAGGAGAAGAAGGGGGCAGGAGAGGATGAGATGGTTGGATGGCATCACCGATTCAATGGACATGAGTTTAAAGAAAACTCTGGGAGATAGTGAAGGACAGGAAAGCCTGGCATGCTGCAGTCCATCGGGTCACAAAGAGTCAGACACAAGTTAGAGACTGAACAACAACAAAATACAGTTTTAAAAGAATTTTGGTAAACATGTTCAAGATATGCTTATTTCCAAACTAGACATAAGTTTCATAAAAACAAGGACAGTAATTTCCTATTCCTGTATCTCAGAACAGTAGTTGACATATGTAACAGGTACTTAAACACTGGAAAGTGAAAAGTGTTAGTTGCTCAGTCGTGCCCAACTCTTTGTGACCCCATGGAAAGCAGCCCACCAGGCTTCTCTGTCCATGAGATTTTCCAGGCAAGGATACTGGAGAGGTTTGCCATCTACTTCTCCAAGGGGATCTTCCTGACCCAGGGATCAAACCTGGGTCTCCTGCACTGCAGGCAGATTCTTTACCAACTGAGCCACAGGGAAGGCTTAATAAATATTGGAATGACTAAATAAATGATATCAAAACATTAATCACTGTAGCATTCAGATGGTTAAATTACAAGAAATTTTTATCTCCCAAATTTCTTTCTTCTATTCAAATATTTATTGAATGATAATGTATAATAGATTTTATATAATTATGAGCTGGGCATTGTTCTGAGTGTCAGAAACCCAGCAGTACATAAAACAAAGTCCCTGTAACCATGAGGTGTACGTCAAGTGGTTTTTACTATTTATGCAATGAAAACATAGTTACTAAAATTAAACTACTATTCAAAATTTTGGTTATAAAAGCTTTTTAAATGCAAACATACACTTTTAATTTATATGTTCACAAATTCAACCCTTCATGTATTAATTAGTTTACAGAAAATTAATTTTCTGGAGTGTGGCACAGTTAAGTAGACAAAATATTAATAACTTTTGCACAAATCAACTGTCTTCTACTACATGTAAAACAGAAATATTAGAAGAACCTTAAAATTCATAAGCATGAAGTTTATACCTTTGCTTACTCTCCAAGCTACTTATAATAAAAAAATAAATCCTGAGACTTCTCAGGTGGTCCAGTGGTTAAGACCCTGCGCTTCCATGGCAGGGGGCCCAGATCCATCCCTGGTCAGAGAACTAAGATCCCACATGCTGTGCGAAGCAAGGCCAAACATTAAAAAAACAAAACACAAACAACTGCCCCCCCAAACTAACTCCTTAGGACTACATCCACTAGTAAGTACCCTACAGGAGAACAGAGATTTCTGTCTGTTTTGTTCATTATCAGATACTCCCAGAAACTGTAACAGTGCCTACTATGGTGGCTATGCAACACATTGTTGCCGCACGAATATTAAATGAAGTCAAGGTCCTCTCTGATCTAATCCATTACTTCTCGGCTGCTATATCATCCACTATTCTCTAGCGTGAGCCTCCCTCAGTCTGAGTGCCCTTTCTTCCATTCAAACCTAAGATAAATCCTACTCATTCCCACATGCTTGAGTCATTTGTCACCATCTTTAAGCAATCTTCCCTGACTCTCCCTGCATCCCAGCAGAACTGCTTTTTCTTTGGATTCCCAATGTACTTTGCTTGTATCTATCTCTATCTTGCTACTTTGTTGTAGACACTTATTCACCACACTACACTCACTTCCTAGAGAGACAAACTCACTCAACTTGAGGTTCCACACAGTCATTTGCCCAAGTGTGGCCAATGAGATATGAGTGAAAGTGAATATGCCATTTTCATGCTTAAGTATTTATTAACAGTGCTTGACTCTAGCCCTGTGTTCTTCTGTTCTCCTGAATTTAGAATACTGTCCAAAAAGTGAGGGTCATAGGACCAAATGGCCTGGAAATGAAGATCAGGCTTCATGGAGTCAATGTGAAGCCACTAAGATTTTGGTCATGTATGTTACCACAGCATAACCTAGCCTACGTAATACACCCTCATGCAAATAAATAATAATACAAACCCAAAAAGAAAACTGTATTGTCCCACAAGTGTATAAACTCATATAACAGATTGAAATAGCT